CGAGGACAGGCCCTCGAAGAGCACCGAGGACAGGCCCTCGAAGAGCACCGAGGACAGGCCCTCGAAGAGCACCGAGGACAGGCCCTCGAAGAGCGCCGAGGACAGGCCCTCGAAGAGCACTGAGGACAGGCCCACGAAGAGCGCCGAGGACAGGCCCTCGAAGAGCACCGAGTGCAAGTCCTCGAAGAGCACCGAGTATAAGCCTTCAAAAATTACTGAGTACAAGCCTTCGAAAAGCACCGAGGAAAAGTCCTCGAAGAGCAGCCGTGATAAGTCGCGGAGGAACAGCGGAGACAAGTCCTCGAAGAGCGCCGAGGACAAGGCTGCCAGGAAGGAAGAGAAGAAGAAAAGGAAAAGCTGCTTGAATCTAGTCACTTGTGCCACACCTCCTGGCAGTCCAATAGTCATCTCGTCGGACTCTGCTCACTCTACCCCGTCGGCCGTGCTGATCGAGTCGTCGTCCGATGCGGAGGAGACCGCCCCTGTGCTGCTCGAGTCGTCTGACGAGGCGGCGGCAGCCCCCTCGCTGGGCGCAGCGCGCAGGCCACCTGCACAGCCCCTAAGTCCAGTACGACCATTGATCTCATCCCCTGGGGCCGAGGAGCAGCCTAGTCCTGGCCGTCAACCTTGCTTCGAAGATTTCGACCTTGCTCAAGGTGGTCCTTCCCTTGTGATAGAAAATGTTGACCCTTTCTGTCAACCCCAGAAAGACAAGGCTGCTGCCGCTACACTAGAAGTTCCTGCCCCTCAACCTGAGCAGACTACCCTGCTACCGGTGCAGCCTGTTCGTCCACCAGAAGAGCCTGCCCCTCAACAAGAGCAGCCTGCTCCTCAACCAGAACAGCCTGCCCCTCAACCAGAGCGGCCTGCCCCTCAACCAGAGCGGCCTGCTCCGCAACCAGAACAGCCTAGCCATCAACCCAACGCCCACGCGCCTGAAATGTGCCCCGCGAGAAAGACTGATGAACCTACCGCTGAGGAAGACGGCCCAGCTACTGAGGAAGGCACAAGGGCAATGGTGATCGCTGTGCTGGAGTGTTCAGATGACATCGCAGAGAACGTGGAAGCCCTGACGAGCCTATTCCCCTGTGCGGATCAGCATCTACTCAGACGCTTTCTTAATGGTCAAAACATTAAACGGGACTATAAGATCAAATGTATTACCAATTACTGCCTGCAGACAGAACGAACTAGAGCCGAGAAGGCCCTTTCCACCGAAGCCGACAGCACCTCGGGCGCACCCAGGACGGAGGCGTCCACCACGACTGAAAGGATCTCAAACGCCACCGTGTCATCTGCAAAGGACTCGGGTTGTGACGGCGAAGCGTCGACTCGGACGCCATTTCAGCCAGGATCGTCTAATCAGCCAACAGATGAGCGGGCTCGTAAAAGATCTTCCAGCTCGGAAACAAAACATCGCAAGAAACACAAAAAGAAGCGACGGGCTGAAAAGCAGGAGAGATTGGTGCAGTCAGTCACAGAGAGACTGACGATCAAGCTCAGGAAGAGTCAGGATGGCTACACGCCGTTTACTGACTCATCCAGTTGTGACAGCTACGGTTCGGCAGCGACCCCACCCATGCCCCAAGTCGAAGAGGAGAAAAGTGACGAGACCTCTGACCCCCGGGTGCCTCCAGCAGCCGCCCCTACGGTCACTACGCCTACTGAAGCCGCCCGGGCCGAGGTGCCTGCAGAAGCCACCCGAACAGTCGCGGCTCCTACTGAAGCCGCCCCAGTGCTTAGTGAAGTCGCCTCAACGCCAGCAGTCTCTGCGCCTACTGAAGTCTCCTCAACTCCAACAGTCGTGGCCCCACCCACCCCAACGCCTACTGGAGTTGCCTCATCGTCAGCAGCCGTGACGCCTACTGAAGCCGCCCCAACGCCACCAGTCCTGGCGCCTACGGATGCCACCCCAACGCCACCAGTCCTGGCGCCTACGGATGCCACCGCAGTGCCACCAGTCGTGGCGCCTACTGATGCCACCCCGAAGTCTGCATGCGAAGTGGCCTCTGAAACAGCCCCAAAGCCAGTCGGGGTGTCCTTCGAAGCTGGCGCTGCAGCGAGCCCACCGCTGCCTACTATTCGAAGAGCACCTGCGTACTCTAAGAACATGGCTCATATGACGAGAGAGCGTGATCGTGAGAGGAGTCTAAACAGTAATGATCGAGACAGAGGTCGAGAGTATGATCGAGACCGAAGTCGAGACCATGATCGAGACAGAGGTCGAAATTATGATCGGGACAGAAGTCGAGATTATAACCGCGACAGAAGTCGAGACAGAAGTTTATACAGAGATCGTGACCGCGGTCAAGATAGAGATCGTGACCGCGGTCAAGACAGAGATCGTGACCGCGGTCAAGACAGAGATCGTGACCGCGGTCAAGACAGAGATCGTGACCGCGGTCAAGACAGAGATCGTGACCGCGGTGAAGACAGTGATCGAGCAAGAGATGAAGACAGAGAAAGAGACAGAAAAGAACGCTTCAGAAGCCGCAGGGGACGGCCGCCCATAGGCAGCAGAGAATGGCCCAACAGAGAAGAACAACGTCTTAGAGACGATGAAAGCCCCCGAGAGGATCGAGACCTTCGAGAGGAGCGGAGCCAGAAAGAGTCCCGGGAAGAAGGTGAACTCAGCGACTCCCGAGAAAAACTTGACCCCCGCGATGGGCAAGGTGCGCCACTTAGCCGGGACCGTCGAGACGACCAGCCTGAACGAGGTCCAGGGCCAAGCACCGTCAGCCCTCGCGAGCCTCGGCGAGAAAGTGAACCGGGTGCTGGCACTGCTGGCTCCTCCAGCAGAGCCCCCAACAAGCCTCCAGCCGCGCCGCAGTCAACGCCAACGTCCTCGAGAAGCAACGCGTCGGCGCAGTGGGACAGTAGCCTGCGAAAGACCAGTAAACCCTTCGCTGGCTACTCAAAGAACACCCAGAACACCTTGATGCAGGGGCGGCGAGGCATCAAGAAGCGCCTCGCGAACACCCCCACCCAGTACTTCACCCTCGGCGTGGACCGCAGCGCCCGCGCGCAGCCCATCATGCGGCCGGAGGAGCGCAAGGGTGCCGCGCCGGCCGTGCGCCGCAAGTCCGCCACCCAGCCCGCCGACCTGCCCACCGACGACGTGCAGGCGCCCGCACCGCCCGCGCCGGCCGCACCGCCCGCCCCCGCGCCGCGGCGGCCCAGCGCAGACAAGGCGGACGACGCCGACCGGACCAAGTGGCTGGAGGCAGCCAAGGCGCGCATCCACCAACCGACGCCAAAACCAGCCTGGGCCGCGGGCTCGAACCCCACGTCGCGTCCGCCGCCAGTCACTCCGCTGAAAACCTCCTTCACGCCGGCGGTCACAGCGATCGGGTCTCGCACCAGCTCCGCCACCCCGGCCGCCGGGCAGGCGAAAGGTCCATCTGAATCCAAGATGAAATCGCCACCGCCATCTGCAGGCTCGAAGGTCACACCCCCGCCCTCTGCATCCTCGACGGCCACCCCGGCCTATGCCCTT